AATTAATAATTGTGATACACATAGTGATCATCTGAGTAATAATATGCTAAATCTAGATGTATTAAATACATAATGATTATCTGTATATTCAGAGTGAAAATAATCTTCTTAAAAATATAATACTAAGCTAATCTGTTATACAGATAACGCAAAATAAAGATCTAAGCTAAAAGAGATCTAAAGAAAAATAATCCAATCAAAATTGTTATAGATCTATTGAAAATATTTTAGCAACAAATTTAATCAATTTAATAATAATAATAATAATAACAAAAAATAAGTAATATATTATTATTTAATAAAATTATAAGTAATAATGAAACTATAAGTGATAATGAAACTATATATTACAAAACTACAAATAATGAAACTACTGATAATGAAATCATAAATAAAATTACAAATAATGAAATTACAAATGATGAAACTATAGTAATAGATAATGATAATAATTTATCAGATATATTTTTTGCAGTAAATAAAGAAACTATAGCTCTAGCTCATGAATTAGCAGTAAAAAAATCAGCTTTAGAAAGTGAAGATAATGAATTGTTAGAAACTCTAAATGATATTGATAACATTTTATTTGAAGTTGGAACAGAATCTACTTTTTCAACAGAAAATAATGAAGAATTAGCTTTATCTTCAAATACTAATAAAAACTACTTAGAGCTAAAATCCTATTATGTAATTATTAAATTTAATAATGAAGTATGATATTATAATTTTACTATCAAGCTTAGAAGATTATAATAACTTATTGATATATGAGAAATCAAAGCAAGTGCACTTCAAGAAATTGAAACCAAATTTCAAAATTTGAGCATATGTCAAAATTATTATACTTTTGATCAGAATTAGTTATATCAACAAGATTTAAAAAAAGTATCAAATATATCTGAAAGTATTATAAAAAATTATTAGTGTATTTATTATGGACTTAATAAGTATTTTTATAGTCATGAAAAATTATGTTTTGAATATTTATGGAATATTATTAGATGTAATATACAAATTCCATGTATTAGACAAGTTGATTGTTTAGCATTAAAAGAGCAAAATTATCATTCTGTTATCTATCCAACTACTCTAATTACAAGATTACATTATATTTATTATTTTTCTTTTGAAAAGAATAATGAATATCTGTATCATCATCCTGAAAAAGTAAATCTATTATATCCTGTAAAAATAACAAATTATATAATAATGATATTATATTATCCCTTTGATTATTAGAAAATTGGATATTAAATATAGCTGAATCTGATAATTTAAATATAAAATTATCTCTTTTATCTCATTTAAGTCTAATTTTACAAATTCTAAATACATCTTCTTATTCAAACTCACTATCATAATCAGAAATTCAATCTATTCCATCTTGTTCAACGTAATCAAAAATTCAGCCTCTTAGTTTATTTGTTATTAAAATAGTTATTAAGTTAAAACATATTATTATTTCTTTGATATCAAAAAATTTATTATTGGAATATTTTTCTGATTTGGGTAATATAATGGCAAATATAATTTGGATATCAAAAACAGAATTTCAAAAAAATATTAAGTTATTAGAAAGTCCAGAAATATTAGATCAATATTTTTCAGCAATTCCAAAATCACTCATATCTTTCTTTGATACACTTATAATGAATTTAGAAGACAAATGAAATCTTTCAGCTGCTTGCAAAGCAAAATAATGAAAAAAAGAATGCAAATTAATTAATTTAATAAAGATTAAAAAAATAACAATCTTTATATTATCAATTATTTTAAATACTATATTTAATAAGATAAATATTTAGATTTCTCATATGATAGTCAGTTTATATCAAAAGTCTAATCTTCTTTCTTCAGTTTACAATTTTTTAAAAGAAGTTAATATAATATCTCATATTGATTAATAGGAATGTTATTTGGAAAATTTATGAAAAAAAATAATAAATTCTTCTAATCAAGTATAAGTTGAACTTAATATTTGAAATATTACTGTGATCGATAATATTGATATTAGAGCAAAATCATTTATATTTGGAAATATTTATAATATTACCTGTCAATTTTCATATACTATATTACAAATAGTTTTTCAATATAATTTACCTATGTCTATTATAACATTTATAAATCAAAAAATTCCAATTTATGATGAATAAATAATTGAATTTAATGAAGTTTTAAAAAATATTATAACATTATTTTACATGATATTTCAAAGTTTTCTTTTTAATAATATATCTAGTAATAATTTTAATACCAATTTTAATATTTATGATATACATAAAAAAATTACAGATCAAGTTGAGAAAGGATGTCAGTATAAAGTTCCTAATATTATTATACTTGAGATAGGTGGATTATCAATAATAAATAAGAATATTTTTTTATCATTGGAAATGTATAAAAATGATATTGGACTTATTATAAATAAAAAATTAAATATTTTATCAGATGAAGCTATATTTCAAAGAGTAATATAATATAAAGAAAAAGAATTTTGAAACTTACTTAGATAATAACATAATAATAAAGATATATGTGGTATATTATTAATAATTTTTTCAGGTTATGATATATTTAATTTAGCTAGTGCACTTGGAGTTTAATATTTAGATAAGTTAGAAATAATTGCTGACTATTGATCAACTTGTCAAGTTTTAAAACTTTTATAGACTATTGTAGGTTATACAATTTATATATATATAAAAAAATATCAAATTATACTATCAGAAATAATGAATTACAATAATAATTTAGTCAAAGTCTGATATCTTTATTTTGTTTGGGTGAGTTTATGGAAGGCTCACAAAATTGGAATATGAAATAGAAATTATAATTAGCAATTTAAAATATTAGAAGCTTTTTCACTACTTTTTTCTGCATCTGAAAAAAATCAATATGCAGAATCTGTTATTCATTTTCTTGCACAATTACATGATAATACAGAATTATAATCTTTACTTTAATTAGTATGTTCAGTTAATATTTCTCATGATGAATATTATTATGTATTTGATAAAGCCTTGGAAATATTAGGTGTAAAATTTGTAAAAGAAAATATGTCAAAAACTATTAATATAGTAAATCTTGATATTTTAAAACTTGAAATCAAATCAGTACAAGCTGAATGTGAATAATTAGCAACTTTTTTATCAGAATTTATTAATAATCATTCTAAAAGTCATGAAAATCATTCAATTTAAATGAGAAATAAAAAAGTGTGAAAACTTTCAATAGATTTAATATCAATATTTGAAACAAGAAATTCTAAAGATCATTATTTATTTTCTACTATTACCATAGTAGCATAAAAATCCCTAATTTCTTAATCTTTTCGTGGTTATGCAAAATCACATTTTCTTATAACTTTT